TGTTCAATGTTCACTTTTATATTTACATTCGCCCTACATCTGATATTGAGCACTTTATTCCATAAATATAGCGCAACTTGAAACTATATATATATATATATATATATATATATGCGTGTGCATATGTGTGCGTGTATGTGTATTTTAAAACAATCGTCGTAAGGACTGCTCCAATGCTACGATAGTCCATTTTATATATACAAATATTTAAATTATTTAACCGTCAGTCTTACTTAGCATCTGAAGATTGCGTTGGGGACGAAGTGTTGTGCTGCCGGAAAAGATATATATATATGATCGAAATAAAAGTATAAAAATTAATATTACAAGACATATTAAAACAGTATTAAATAAAAAAAAAAACTCAACAACAGGGAGACCGGTTTTGCTCCCAGAGAGATGTATTTCAATCTTCCCGTGGAATTGAAAATTAAAACAGAGATGAAATCGGTTGCTCCCTCTGTTGTTTTTTTTTTTTTTTTTTATTTAATACTGTTTTAATGTCTTGTAATATTAAATTTTATACTTTATTTCGATCATTAAATTTTATACCTACAAAAATATCTTTAAATATATATATATATATATATATATATATATATACACACACACACACACACACACAGAGAGAGAGAGAGAGAGAGACTATAGTTCAACAGTTTCAAGCCATCTCCAGAATTAGCATTGGTATGTACTTGACAGTAAAAAAAAAAATAAAAAAAGGTCTTAGAGTCACTGAAAAAAATGAATGGAATCAATTATCAAACGTATGCTTTAGTAGACTTTTGCAACAAATGCCAAAAATTTGTGTTGTAGTAATCAAGGCGAAAGAAGGATATTTTGATAAGGCAAAATTCTAATCATAAAATGCTTGGTCCGTAATTATTCCTACTCTTCAATTGTCTTTAGAATAATTAAAAATATAACTGTTTCTTCCTGACCAATAATCGTTAGAACAACACAATAAACCGTAAAAACCTGACCTTGCTACCCATATTACTTCATCGACCAGCATATATAGATAGTAGAGCTACCACCCAACACACATGCGCTGAAGAGTGCGTTCAAGCATGAAAATATCGAGTTTTGACTGCAGTGTCCACTCTTATATTTACACACACTCTATACCTGATATTGAACACTTTAACTGATATGATCCTATAAATATAACGTAACTTGAAAATATATTTTTCATCCCTCTCTCTCTCTCTATATATATATATATATATATATATAGAGAGAGAGAGAGAGAGAGAGAAAGAGAGAAAGTGAGTTAGAGAGAGGGATGAAATATGTGTGTGTGTATGTACATCCCTGTACACTCATACAGACACCCACACACACATACATATATATATATATATATATATATATATATATATATATATAAAAGAAATCTGGAATTCATTATCGTAAATGTATCTGGCCTATTTCTATACACACTCCAGTCCCCCAACCAACATAAATAAGCTGAAGGTTATGACTATGAATCGACCTCAGCATTATCCCTAAAACTGAGATAAAAAAAACTCGTGGATTTTCCTGTTATCCTACTTCCCTTAATTCCCTCATTATCAATATCCAAAACAACTCACTAAAGTATTTGCATCACTTGGTCTAAAGATCGCTTGAAACGTGAATCTTGTAGTCACGATGACGTATTAATCTCTATATGAACACTGCCTATATCTATGTATCTGTAGTCCAACAGAAGGTAACATCAATCAACTCAGTGACAACCTTTTTACTTGTATCAATCATTCTCTTTCTCTCTCTCTCTCTCTCTCTCTCTTATATATATATATATATATATATATATATATATATATATATATATATATGGTACAGTCTGTTATAAAGACGTTTAAACAATTTGGCACGTCAGAGAATCTGCCTGGGCGTGTAAGAAAAACCCAAATTGTCACCGAGAACAGCACGATAACTGTGTCGCTCGGTTAATATAAACCCAAGATTTGTTTTAAAAGACATCGCCAAAAGTTTGAATACGATGGGTATCAGTGTAGGTACTCGCACAACACAACGTTGTTTAAATAGAAATGGGTTGTATAGAAATGCGACCACGACGGACCCCTCTTCACAACCCATGTTACATTGTTGATCGGTTTAATTTTGCTAAAACGGTCTTGGACAAAGACAATTTTGGGGGGGGGGGAACAAATACAATGGAATAATGAAAAAAAAAAGAGCTTTTTAGACATAATGATATAGAGAAGATTTAGAGCAAGAAAGGTGATGCTTTCCTCCCAAAGAATGCATTCGCACCATTTAAACATGGAGGCGATTCGATGATGATTTGGAGTTGTTTTAGCCCAAGGGAGGATTGAACAATTAGTTGCAATAAGAGGAATAATGAAATCTGCAGACTATATCAAAATTCTGGATGAAAATCTACAATTATCAGCGCAAAATCTTCATCTTGGTGGGCGATTTAATTTCCAGCAAGATAATGATCACAAACATACATGTAAAGAAGATTACAGTTTTGCCATGGGCTTCAATGAGTTCTGATTTGAATCCTATTGAAAATCTATGGCAACAATTGAAAGTTCGTATAAATCGTCAGTCACCAAAAACCTTCAGGAATTAGAATGTGCAGGCATTGAAGAATGGAAGAAAATCCCAGAAAAGACTTGATCAAATCTCATCAAAAACTTTAGAAAACGATTGCAGCAAGTTATAAAGATGAGAGGCCATGCTATTGACTACTAATATTTTGAAAATTGTTCAATTTTTTCTATTTTTCATACTGTACGAATAACTTTGCCTTTTCCTATTTTGCATAATTCACCTGTCAAATTTGTTGTAATTAACCTATTGTTTTGAAAATAGAATTTTATATTCCATTTTTTGTTCTTAATAACATATAAAAACCCTGGCATCATACGGGCATTAGATTCTGACAAATAGATAAAAATATTTAAAATTGATGGGTGTACGAATAATTTCGTCGTTGATGTATGTATGTATGTACCTATCACCTGACCCGCACTCGTTCCATCTTTATTGAAACCAGGAGTAGAGATTTATCCCCTGTTTCTTGTTTAGGATATGGTTTACCAATTCTTTCTTTTTTTTTATCACCATAATGATTTAACAAACTTACATTTTTGGTGATCTGACTAATTCTTCATTATGAAGTTACCAGATTGGCATTTTTCTGGTTGCGACATCCGACTGGTAGTAAGGAGACCGGACTCTTTGATTGTGCTTAGAGGGGTTGCTCTGATCAACAGTTGCACAATATCGATGTATTTGCAGTGCCATATCACGCATGGGTAGGTGTCCCTGCATGTATTTTCAGTGTTCACACGGGGACCACATTATTGCCAACTTGTATTGCCAATGACGACATATAGTGATAATTATTTTGGCCTTTTTCTTTTTTCCCCCCAAAACAAATCTCCTTATGACAAATAAAATGAAAAGAAATACGAGAAAACTAGTAAATAAAATTCCCCTACCGGACTCAACCTTCTCTTGAAATAGTATCCAGATATCTTTGCAATTTGTTACCAATGAATTCTCTGTTTCCCGTTTTTGCCGTAAATATTCTATAATACATATGCATGGCCTCGGTGTTTATAACCGAAAAAAATCTGTCAATGGCATGGGGGTCATTCCTTGAATCCATAGATTATTCTTTCATGTGATTTCGACTTTTGTTTTTGCACTCTGTTCGACATCTCTTCTTCCATTATCGTGCTCCCTCTCCTCAGGACTGCGATAGATTGGACAAATTTTCCGACAGTATAGGAAATGTCTCTCTCTCTCTCTATATATATATATATATATATATATATACATTCATCTGTGGATATTTTTTAATGCTCATCATGATAAGTGGCTTAACCATTCTAATATTACTTATGTTGCTGGTATTTAGATCTTCAATTTTTTCGTTGCTCAGCCTCTCGTGCAAATAGTGGATTTCGCTCCTCGTTTCCGTAGTAAATCTGATCAACCTACTTCCTTACTTGATTTGTTCCTTACCTACCTCTTCGCAACTCTGTTCTCTCGGAAATTCAGATCACGCTCTAGTATCTGATGAGATATTATTTCAGTCATGTATTAGACAGGAAAATCCGAATTGATAAGACCCTCTTCTGGTACTGGCAGGGTGATTGGGATGTACTAAGCGGCTTTCTTCGAGACGTCCTTGGATTGCTTTTCTTAACTTTCCTCTTGAGAATTGGGCCAGTGGGGCTTTACTTTAGGTCAAAATCGATGCTTTTGCATCTTCTCGGAAATACTAGGTGAAATCAAAATATTCTCAATGGTCCACACTGGTCTGTTCAGCCGTGGTAGCCCACAGGTATAACTTTTTCCGGCTATACCAGCGTGACTGTTCCGATCACAACAGACACTTATTCGTGGCTGCCCGTAATAAATGTAAAGATGTCCACGAAGGAGTTAAGTGTTTGTTTGCTGATAGAATGAGGCACCGTATTGCATCTAACAACTTTGGCTCTCGTGATTGCTGAGGCTTCTGTAATCAGTCAGTTATGATATAGCATTTTTGGCAAACTATTAGAGACCCTTATCAATTTTCGATACATGACTGACGAGGCAGATTTTTTCCCGCGGTAGGTTGCCATTTATTTCTGCGGTAGACCGGTTGCCATCCAAGGCTTTAGAACCCGGTCTGTCCTGCTATTTACCCGTAGCTGGGGGTAAGAAGAGGATTCATACCTTTCCCAAGGGTATTAGCACGTAAGTGAATGCAATGGATTCGAGTGGAATTCGAACTCGGCTATCTTTAGGTCAATCCTAGTCGCTACCCATTACTCCATCGTGCCTCCCTCTGTAATAGTGTATTAAATAAGAGTAAGTTTTATATTCCCCTTCTCTAATCAATTTGAGGTGTTAGCATCGACTGATAAAGCAGATTGTTTTGCCAGTAAATTCTCTTCAAATTCTACTCTTGAATGGTCTGGATTAACCTTGCCTGAATTTCCATTTAGAATCGAGTCTCTTTTGAGTCATATGCATATGAACTCTTTCCATCGTATCTCCTATCATCTCTAATCTGTATCCACACAAAGCTTGTGGACCTGATATTTTCCATGTAATAGAACTGTTCTCTTTCACCTATACAATAAATGCCTTGCTGTCTCCTGTTTTCCTGCTTGTTGGAAAACATCCTCTGTTGCTTCAATCTTTAAAAACTCAAGGAAACAGTTTGAATCTTTGAACCATCTGCCTATTAACCTTCTATCGCAATTTGGCAAACTACTAGAGACGCTTATCAACTTTGAATTGGTTAAGAATCTAACATGACTGGGTATTCTTTCAGATAATATGGATTTCGCTTCTCTAGCTCAATTGCTGATGTAGTAACGATTATTATTGAAAGAGAGTATGAAATAAAACTGCAGAAAACTCGGGCTGTTGCATTGGACATCACGAAAGCGTTTGATAGGATTTGGCATATCGGTCTTCTTTTGATGCTAGCACCTCAAACGTTATGGGTTTTCAGCTGAATTTTTGAACTGATTCAGTCTTTCTTCTCAAATCGCGAAATATAAATTATACAGCACAGCCATTGTAGATTTTCTTTGCATTAATACAGGTGTTTTCCCTAGGTCTCTAATGTGCTCCTAGGCCTCTAATGTGCTGCTAGCTTTTTGCTAACAGTTTCTTTTCTCGCACTTCTAATTTGTGGAACTCTCTTCCGGCTCTGCGCCTTCCAGCCAACTTTGATCTTCAAAAACTGAAATGTAATGTCAATCATGATCTGTCTTCTTGATTATTCTTCTATTCTTGTCGCTCCTTAATAATGCTTATCTTTTTTCTTTAACGCTCATTAAACCCTTGTGTCTTAGGGGCTTTATTGCCTTGCATGAGGGAATGATTACCAGTTTCACGCCTTCGTTCTTCATCATAAATTCAATCGTAAATGAAAACTTGTTTTTACGATGGATGGTTGAATGTTAATTCCGCATGGAAGTGTCAGTAACATCCGGGAACCTACAGAAGAAAAGCTCATCAAAACGTCACCTTATCGAAAACCGAATTTAGTTGCAATGCATAATAATAATTTAGTTCTGTTACCGTCAAAATTATGTCATCTTTTGACAGTCTGTGCAAAGTTGTTGGCTGAGAATATATTAGCAGTAACAGTTATCTCCCTTGCATTTGGAGATTTTCTATGCCAGCACATCATACTGTCGGACGTAATGCATCTGGATAGATATATAAGAAATAAAATCTTTAAACAGACTGAGATAGATAGATATATAGATAGATATGAACAGACTGAGATAGATAGATATATAGATAGATATGAACAGACTGAAATAGATAGATATATAGATAGATATGAACAGACTGAGATAGATAGATATATAGATAGATATGAACAGACTGAGATAGATAGGCAGATAGATAAATAATCCAACACTTCCCAAGTAGATCTCGTAGTCCAGTCCGAATGTTATAGAGTGGAAATTACAGTTCAAAATGCTGAGTTATAGATTTTTTAAGTGTTTCTGAGTTAGTCTATCTATCTATCTATCTATCTATCTATCTATCTATCTATCTGAGTCTGCTCGTTATCTATCTATCTATCTATCTATCTATCTATCTATCTATCTATCTATCTATCTGAGTCTGCTCGTTATCTATCTATCTATCTATCTATCTATCTATCTATCTATCTATCTATCTATCTATCTGAGTCTGCTCGTTATCTATCTATCTATCTATCTATCTATCTATCTATCTATCTATCTATCTGAGTCTGCTCGTTATCTATCTATCTATCTATCTATCTATCTATTCATCTATCTATCTGAGTTTTTCGTGCTCTATTATCTATCTATCTATCTATCTATCTATCTATCTATCTATCTATCTATCTGAGTCTGCTCGTTATCTATCTATTCATCTATCTATTCATATCTATCTATATCTATCTATCTATCTGAGTCTGCTCGTTATTATTCATCTATCTATCTATCTATCTATCTATCTATCTATCTGAGTCTATCGTTAGTCATTCTATTATCTATCTATCTATCTATCTATCTATCTATCTATCTATCTATCTATCTATGTCTATCCGCATGCATGTATGTATGCGTGTAAAGGTGTGAGGCATGTGGCTGTATTGCTTAACTGCCATATCTAGGAGTGGCACTTTCTCACAATTTCAAAGTTGAAGTACTTGAGATTCTGTGAACGCTGAAAGCAGAAGAAACTCCAAAATCGAAACCCCGCCTTTTTTTTTTCGCTACACTATTTTTTTTTTTAACTCATCATCAGAAACAGGTCGGACCGTTCTGGACACTTGGCGAAAGGAGAAATAAGATCAAAACCGAGACAGAAATAGTTTGATAGAAAAACGAAAACAGGACAAAAAGGAAAAAAAAAAAAAGAAATGGGAAAGCAGAACGCTTTGGTTGTCACTGAGTGAGACAAGTGCTTCTTCTTTCACGCAATGGGGGTGGGGGCCCCCCTTTTTTGCTTTCAGTACGGCTG